GTCCGACGGTTGGTCAGTCAGTTTTCATAAGGTGATTCATCAGTAATTGTTCTGGAAATGAGAATTCGCTGAAACTTCCCAGCGGTGAAGTTTATGATATGTTCATAGTAAAAACAGAAAAAAGTTGGGGGTTATCGAAATCGTTTAGAAGATAAGTCAAGTGCAATATGCCACCTTCTCCCCAATCAATATGGCGCTATCTTGGCCCTTTTACGAGTTACAGGAACAAACGAAATTTCGCAACCGTTAAGGATCCTATTAAAAATGTCTATCTAGTGATTATATGCATAAAAACATGGTATTTTAGCAAATCAAAAACCATTGACGTGCATCTTCATGGTTCAAAGATGTCTTCCAATCTTCTCAGACTTGTTATTTTGGGAAGCATGCGCGAAAAATGTAAAACATTTTCACTTGAAAAAGTTATAATATTTTTCTCATATTTTCTGATATAACATGTAGAAAAGTAGGATCACGGATCTTCCTAAAGAAATACAAGGGTTAAACATGCAACATAATTTGGTTTAGAATGTTAGTTCAACAGGAGCCCTGGCCAGAGTTGTGTCATTCTGTTTTGGAAGGAATATATCCTGAAGCAAGTCTAATCAATGCAGAGTAATTTTCTCTTAGCCCATTCTCTTTTTTTATCACTTCAAATTACAGATCAACTACATACATTAGCAAGAATTTGTTATTCGATGCGCGCAAAAAAAGTTCGCAATGCAAAACTGATGAATCACCTTAAGTCAGCCAGTCATTCGGTCGTTCAGTGAGCCAATCGATCAGTTGGTTAGTACGTCGGTCCTTTAAGGCTGATTTCCACTGTTGCATTTTTCGTATGCACATACACGCACGTAAAACTTTGAAACTTTCTATTTTATAAATATTTCACAAATAAGTTAACAATGCATACTAAAACTTGCGGAACAGTAAATTCTGTTGCTTTATCCATTTGGTTATTTCATAAGTAACATTTAAACGGATTTAATTAGTTTTATGTGCGTATACGTACGTATGAAAAACCCAACAGTGGAAATCAGCCTTTAGTCTGTCAATCTGTCTGTCAGTCTGATTACTACTTTTTCTTGCAGATTGTCTGTACTTAAACGGCAGCAGTTACCATGGCAACATTTCCGTGACAGTCTCAGGTATTCCGTGTCAATTATGGACAGACCAATGTCCACATCGTCATACCATGAACAATACATATCCAGAATTGAACAACGCTAAGAATTATTGTCGGAATCCTCAGAACTCAGGACAACGACCTTGGTGTTTTACTACAGATAGGAACAAAAGATGGGAGTACTGTGATATCCCCAAATGTATACCAGGTATAGAGCTATATTGTACTGTAATATCGCTAAATTTTACCATATTTACAGTGCGCTTTGGTGGCGCAATCGCCTGAGCAAGCGCCTTTCATCTCTGAGATCGTGGGTTCGATTCTCACGGCATACGCATCATACTTACTGTCACGGCAGACGCATGATGCACCGGTCTACCGAAAGTCGTGGGTTTTCTTCGGGTACTTCGGTTTCTTCGCACAAGGAATGTTGGGTTGTGAAAGGCCTCAAACTGATCGACCCTTCCACCGCAACTGTGCTTCATGTTCAAACACGAGTCACTGATCAACTCCTTCAGGTTTAGCTGCGTCCTTCGTAATTCAACTTAGGGCCCACAGCTGCAAGTAAGGATGGTTAAATGTACATGCTTACTTATGTCAAATACTTATTTTTCAAATAAAATACCCAACAAATTACAGCTCAGGCCCTTTTATCAGGTCGGGCGTAAACGCAAACAAGTAATTAATTTTATGTCACCGTAAAAGGCTACGTTGCAAGAAGAGCGACCGAAATCGGAATACCAATTTAGATTTTCAAACAAATTGTTCGGATAGTCCATTCATTTTGTAAATAAATCTGCAACTTTATTTTGAAGTATTTTGTAAAACGTGATGATAATATCAGTGCTTCAGCAACTGACTTTAAAACATTCTTTGGAATATATTTACTAAATCTGTACAATAGTTGTTGAACTTTAGAACCGTCTTTTAGAGCGGTGTCTTTATATTACGAAAATATAAAACGAGACAATCAACGGCCTGGGAGGGGCGATAAGCAAGTAATACTTTTACGTGGTCGTGTGTGACCCAAACACATCTTTTTCTTTGCCACAGTTGATGGTAGGTATGGCAACTGGTCATTAAACAGTTCATGTTCTGTAACTTGTGGGGAAGGTTTTGAAACATGGTCACGAGAATGTAACAATCCTGAGCCAAAGTATAGTGGAAGAAACTGCAGTCATCAAGGAGAACCTGTTGAGTACAGACCATGTACTAAGAATCCTTGCATTGGTAAATATACTCTTAAGTTCTTTGCAGGTTTGCATGGCGATAAAACATATAATGCTTTTGTTTGTGGAAACACCACGTATTTAATTTAATTTATTACTGCAAAGCTTTCCATCCGTAAGGCCGAACCTTCGTCAGTGCTAATAATATGACATATTATTATATGGCAAGCATTTGTTTTGATGAATCGCGCAATTTGATTGGCTGCTGACGAGGCAGGATTTTCCCGTATTGCCCACGGGCAATACGCAATTTTTTTGCCCTGCGACAAGAGACGAGTTTCAAACGGCAAAAAGTGTCTAAAAGTCTTTCAAAACTATTCAAAACGAAGAAAAATAAACCTAAACTAAAGAAAAGGAGCACCTTCTTTGGTTAAAGAACTTTCTCAATATGTTTTTGTTAGCGAAAGTCGAAATTACAAGGTAAATTTTACAATGTTTATAACTATTAAAGAAGTCAGGAATAGCTGGGTTTTGACTTTGTGAAGAGCTGCAAGTCTTATTTGCAGATAGCCGAGGAATTTGACACCATCCTAAATGAAAAATACAACTAAAGCAGCCACAGATTTATATTTTCCCCTGAAAATTTCTGGGTTTTTTCGATAAAAAGAGATCTATTTATGAGATGAAGCGAACTAAAAACGTACTTGTCCATACGGTTTACTAATTTTATTGTTTCAATATTTGTTGTCTTTGTCTTTGATTAAATGACGAAATACCTCGTATTTTTCTTGAAATACTATCCAAATGTGTTAGTATTCTATATAAAAAGTGCTGTGGAGTAGTTTTACTAACCAAGCTTGAGAACATTTTTTACAATTGTTCTTTTTTGCAAATGTTTCGGACTTTGTACTTTGCCCTCGCGTGACTTTTTTTCCCCATTTTTTACAAACGTACAATGCCATATAATAAAAAACTTACTAACCTCAACCGTTCGGGCAGTACGGGAAAATATCCAACCTCGGTCTTGCTGTATTGACCTCGCTATCGTTCGATCAATACAGCAAGACCTCGGTTGGATATTTTCCCGTACTGCCCTCACTCTCGGTCAGTAAGTTATTATTATTGGCACTGATGAAGATCCAGGCATACGAATCGAAAGTTTTGCAGTAATAAATTTACGTGGTGTTTCCACAAACAAAAGCAATTTAATATACTATTCCTTCACCGCTACAACCTCGTACCCAGGCTCTCTTCTCTACGCTCCTTGCCGGAGGAAAAGACCCTGGTGAATCTGGCCACGTGGCTCCCAGATTTTTGGAGCCACAAATATATCTTCTGGGAGGGGTGGTACTTTTCAATGTATGTAATTTGAGACTAGTGGCCATAAACTTTGAGCAGACTGATCAAAATACATACGCGATGTTTTAAATGTCTCGTGTTCTTGCTTTGTTTATACTTTGCTTTGTTTATCCTTTGTTTACACTATGCTTTGTTTACACTTTGTTTGCACTTTGTTCACACCTTATTGTGGATGATACAGTGTAAATGTTATAAACATTGATGAAAAGTGTGTGTAGCCCTGGGAGCCATTAGATTAATAAATCATATGCGTATAGAATATGGAATCAAGCTGCGAGAGAATAAAAGGCGATAATCAGAGAGACACTGAAGCAGAACGAACGAACTCGTGTTGAAGTAGAACCGATTAAGGAGTGGTCTACACACTGATAAAATAACTTGATAAAGTAAAACGAAAGAAATATACGTGATCAACGTCGCACTTTACATTATATGGGAAAGGTGGATCTTCAATGATCAAATGCTCTGGTATAGTCTTCAGTGACTTGAGCAATACACTACGTGGGTCTTCAATGATCAAACGCTCTGGTAGAGCCTTTAGTGACTTGAGCAACACACTCAGCTTTAAACGTGTGAAGACGAAGTTATTTGGAGATCGGTGTAGTGGAATTGAAAGCGGGGACCGTTATCAAAACCATGGTAAACTTAACGAGCGCTCTGAAAATCGGGATTGTCAGGACTAGCTGAAGAAACAACGGGAAGGAACAACTCGCCAAAGGACGCAAGTATCGTAGCTTGAGAGACAGTTAACAACAATAGTATAGGATTTACACTGCGATAGTTTTAGTTTTTAGTTATATCCAACAAAATATAGAAAAATATATTTAAATTGTTTTTGTATATGAAGTTATATTTGCCGACACCCACACAGGCGGATTTAAATTCGTCACAATTGGTGGCAGCGGTGGGATTAGTCGGTTAATAGGAAGAAATAGTATTAATAGTGAACAATTATCACGAAAGAACAATTAAATCGTATAATGAGTGAATACGACGATTGGGGATTAGAACTCTTAAGAAAAGAATGTGCTGGTCGTGAAATTGTAATTAATACAAAAGATGGCGTTAAAACACTTGCCGCAAGGTTAAGAGCAAGTGATAAAGCTGTAGAAAAAGTACAAACAGAGGACGAGACTGTAGAATTGAAAACTGACAGAGGGGTGTTTGAGCCCTGAAAAACACGAACAACAAAAACTGTAGAAGACTCGGGTAATTTCAGTAGTGATCATGATTATGGCAATAAGGGCAAAATTCCCTCGGGGCCCACAAGTTATGAACGTACTCGCGAGCCCCTGGGGTCCTTAAGTTTTGACGAACGATTGCCTCTTTTGCAATTTGAAAGAGATATGGCAGTAGAACGCAACGAACTTGAAATGAGACGGGAAGAGCGTAAAAGGAGGGCTGAGAGGGAAGATAAAGCGTTTGAAGTAGAATTGGAACGAGAGAAATATCAGATCTATGTAGCTAAGCAGAGCGTACCAAAGCCTATAAAGGTGCGAGAAATGAGAGAAAATGAGGATATAGATGATTATTTTCGAATTTTTGAGATGACTGCTAAGCCCCTGTTAATTTCGCAAGATGAGTGGCTAGGTAGTTTAATCCCCCGTTTAAGTGAAAAAGCGAAGTCTATATATTTAGAAATTGTTGGTCCAGATGCTCAGGATTATAATAAAAGTAAGGCTATTATTATATCAAGAGCATAACAGCTTAATGTTGACCATTATAGATATCGATTTCGCCATTCAGAAAAAAAGGCTGGCGAAGACTTTGGCCAGTGGGCTCACAGAACCCGTAGATACTTGAACCGATGGATGACTGTGGCAGAGGCCATAGACAACCGAGAAAAAATATTAGAACAAATTGTTTTAGAACGATTGTTAGATGGGGTTGGTCCTGAGATACAAGTATGGTTGAAAGAGAGAAAGCCCAATACCGCAGAGGAATTGGCAAATTTAACGAATGATTATGTACAAAGTAGAAAGGGACCCTTAATTGATGGTAAATATGTTAGTGCCAAAAGAAATGATAATAAGCCTAGGAATGATGATTTTTGCAAAATGAGAGATAAAGTTTACGAAAATAATAAGGGAAATCCAGATAAGCCAGACTTTGGGAAATTTCGAGATAAATTGGACAAGTCAAAAGTTAAGTGCTTTAATTGTCAAAGAAAGGTCATTATGCGCATGAATGCCGAAAGAAAAAAACAACAACATGCCGCATTGTTAGGAATGACTAAGGGATATAATACCCTTGGAAGTTACATAGTAGGGAATTTAAACGGGAACAAAGTCCAAATGATAATCGATTCTGGTTGTTCAAAGACTTTGGTGCATGAAAACCTTGTTAGTAAAAATAGTTTTACTGGTGAGAATATTACCGTTATCACTGCAAATGGTGATAGAGTCGAAGTCCCTTTAGCGTGGGTAACCATAAGTAGTGAACAAGGGATACATCGAGAATTAGTGGGGGTTATGAGAAATCTCCCCGTAGATTGTTTACTTGGGCGTTCGTCCTATGGCAAGTCTTTAGCCAAGAAAATTTTGCTTGATCATTGGGAGCAAGCTGTCGACTTAAATATAGAACCGACAGTGGGGTATAGTGACAAGAATAAGTCCGCTTTAGTTGTTACTCGAAGACAAGCAGCGCTTGTGAAAGCTCAAACTAGATTGGATAAGTTGACAGATAAACAAAATGAATTACCTATTAAGACTCTAAGCCCTAAGGAACCTACAAAAGATGAATTATCGGAGACTATCGAATTAAATAATTTATTTGGTGAAGATAATAATGTTATAACGGAACCTGATCCCGAGAAAGTATGCGTAAAAGAACCGGTTGCAGATATAGACTCCTCTGAATATGACATCGAATTAGAACATAAGTGTGGAGAGAAGCATGTGAATGTGGATGCGCTTAGTAGAATGCCATAAGATTTCGAAGTGCAGCAACTCGATCGTTCAGTTCCAAGGGAAATTTCGTTTCGTATCTCCCCCTCAGGTACGTTTCCATTCGAATTGTTCTTGTTAACTTTTTGTATTTAAAAAAAAAAAGGAAAAGAGAAGTAGGGTGTAAAAAATTAGGTAAAAAAAATAATTTTGGGATCTATTACATACGTAATATGATCTTTGGTGGGAAGGTGTAGCCCTGGGAGCCATTAGAATAATAAATCATATGCGTATAGAATATGTAATCAAGCTGCGAGAGAATAAAAGGCGATAATCAGAGAGACACTGAAGCAGAACGAACGAACTCGTGTTGAAGTAGAACCGATTAAGGAGTGGTCTACACACTGATAAAATAACTTGATAAAGTAAAACGAAAGCAATATACGTGATCAACGTCGCACTTTACATTATATGGAAAGATGGATCTTCAATGATCAAATGTTCTGGTATAGTCTTCATTGACTTGAGCAATACACTACGTGGGTCTTCAATGATCAAACGCTCTGGTAGAGTCTTTAGTGACTTGAGCAACACACTCAGCTGTAAACGTGTGAAGACGAAGTTATTTGGAGATCGGTGTAGTGGAATTGAAAGCGGGGACCGTTATCAAAACCATGGTAAACTTAACGAGCGCTCTGAAAATCGGGATTGTCAGGACTAGCTGAAGAAACAACGGGAAGGAACAACTCGCCAAAGGACGCAAGTATCGTAGCTTGAGAGACAGTTAACAACAATAGTATAGGATTTACACTGTGATAGTTTTAGTTTTTAGTTATATCCAACAAAATATAGAAAAATATATTTAAATTGTTTTTGTATATGAAGTTATATTTGCCGACACCCACACAGGCGGATTTAAATTCGTCACAGTGTGACACGATTTACATTTACGCAAATAAAATACGAACCGTCCCCTCTCTAGTACACACGTAAAAACGCACAAGTTGTTATAGGTCTGCAAACAAGTTGTTACAAATCTGTTCACAAGCTGTCAAGAAGTTGTGTTCACAGTGCTTGTTCCCAGTTGTTGTAAAAAGTTTGGAACAAGTTGTTAACAACTTGTAACAAGCTTGATGCCATTATAAGACTTGTAACAACGTTGTTCTAACAAGTCTGATACAGTCATGTTATAACAATAATGTTACAAGGTTGATGACACAAGGTTGTAACAATATTGTTATATCATGACTGTATCGGACTTGTTGGAACACCCTTGCAACAAGTCTCATATTATCAAACAAGGTTGTTACAAATTGTTAACAGTTTAATCCAAACTTGTTGACAACTTGGGACAAGGATTGCGAAGACAACTTGTTGGCAGACTTGCTACAAGATGTGAGACTTTTGCGTGTGTAATCGATATGTAAGTGGCTCCCAAAATCTGGAAGCCACGTGACCAGCATTCACCAGTATCTCTTCCTCCAGCCAGGAGCGTAGAGAAGAGAGCCTGGGTGACATTCGAATAAGGCTTTATGTGAGCAAGTTAACTAAAATATCGTTCTTAATTCTATTGATAGTGGATAGTCTATCAGTTTTAAACTATTCTATGTGGAAAATTGAATCTAGTGTATCATTCTTTTTAATGTTTAATTTTACAGTTAACGGAGGCTACAGTAGCTGGAATTTAAGTAGTCAATGTAATGTTACATGTGGACAAGGTGAAGAAATATGGCAACGTTCATGTAACAATCCTACTCCGAATAATGGAGGTCGAAATTGCACTGTGTTGGGAAAGGATGTTGAATATCGAATTTGTAGAAGACAACCTTGTCCAGGTATGTTTCCTTATATTTTATTTTATTTTCTTCTTTGGCTTGATCTCTTTGGGGGTCAGCCGCTCTCGTATGTTGACAGAACAAAATAATCATATCGTTGGGTTTAATGTCCTCATATATCTATAAACACCATCCCTTCATCTCACCCTTTTCCCCGCTTCTGTTTTCTCGTCTTACTATTAGATGGCTCCATGCCACCTTGACTGAATCTATTTCTACACTTTGTCGTCCTACTATTCAATGTGTCCATGCCACTTTGACTGTATCTTTCTCTACGCTCTGTCCTGATAACCTCTGCCATAGGTAGTATCTTCAGATCTCTTCCACAGTATCTCACTATCTCATTCTTTGTCACCTTACTATTGTCATCCTGTTATTGAATACCATCCTGACTGGATCTTTCCCTACACTCTGTCCTAGGCTTCTCTAGTCCTTTGTTCGTTGTCTTTTCGTTGGATGTCTTTGGACAGCCTAGCTAGATCGCATTCTCGTTTCCAAGAATGCTATAAAATATCGTCTGTTTCCGAAGGATATTCCAAGCACACAAATCAACATTCTGAGTTTCTGTTTTATCCAGTCTCTCTTCAGTAAAGCCAATGTTTTTGGCCAATCATCATCAGTAACGTTTAAAACATAATCAGCCATGTTCTGCACTTAATCAGGAGTTTAGCAACCAGTAACGAGAACGGCAACGGTTTTATTTTTGTTTGCGAGCCAAAGCATATATTACTAATAAAACTTATTTGCTTTCTAAAAGTACTTATCCTTCGTTTAAACAACCGTTAAGTAGCAATAGTCAGTGAATTCACATTTGGAACGACAATTCAGACTTGCAACGTCTTAACTGTCGGCGTAGTTATAAGCCTAGAAAATTATGAGAATAACGTAGCAGTTTGAACAACTATGGCGCATTAGAATGCTCACCTTTGTCTTAGAGTAAAATTATATTGTTGTTGATCACGTCTTCATTGACATTGCCGTTGTGTTTGCCAAGCTCACTAATATACAAGTACGAACCCAGGGGGGGGGGGTGATTATATATTAAATACAAAATTTACTGTGGTAACATTTTTCTTCCTTATTAACTTGCATGTTTAAGTGAGAGTTTTAACCTTGGAATCGTTTTAGTTGATGGTAACTATAGCAACTGGACTACATCGTCAGCATGCAGTGTAACTTGTGGTGTGGGGTGCCAGACGTGGTTCCGGACATGTGATAATCCACCTCCAAAATATGGTGGAGAAGACTGTTCCAAATATGGTAAAGACAGAGGCAGTAGGCCTTGCCATACGGAGCCTTGTCCAGGTTAGTCATTGAGCTGTTTAGGGTCATCCATAATCACCAACATTTTTCCCAGACCTGAGAAAAAGTTGGATCTCCGGAACATTTGCATTAATGCCCATTTATACAATTGCAATTTTTGCATCGATTTCTAATGCGATTTTCTCCTGCTGATGGATATGAACGAGTAGATGAGTTATGGATGTTTTGAGTATGTCTATATACCCTTTATCTGAACATTCATAATGCATTTAATTACTCGTTCACATGCATCTGAAGAAGAAAATCGCACTAGACTGAGAAAAAATTGAGGAGTTCGAAGATCTTCAATTTTCCACACATACATTATGGCAGAATCGTAACGAATCCTTTCATCATATTTTCTTCTCTTTAATGTTAAAATTTGGTGTCAAATGTTCCATTGTTTTTACACACTTTTGAGGACCATTTGAGAAATGCAAATTCAGGATCCGAGGAATGTTAAATAATTTTTCCGTGTCTGATATTCACAAGTGTACAAAGAGTTTCTCGACCAAAGAATTTCTCGACCAAAGCGTTGAATGTCGATGATGATGATGGGTGTCAAGTTTAACATAATATATAGTGTATGTTGGTCCTCCACCCACCATCACTGCTACCACCACCATCACCACCACTACTACCACCACCAAAGAGCGAATGAAACTCTACTTACATGAGTTTTCATCTTAACTCACAACATCTTTATTATAGCAGCTTCTCCTAAAGTGATGAAAATCATATATGGTGTTTGTGCTTCGATCATCATAGTGGTTATTGGTTTAATTCTTGTTTGTAAACGCAAAGTCTGGATTAAGCGATATCACAGGAGAGGCAGTAAGTTTATTGTATTGTAACTGATAACTCAAAACAGCCTTCTGGAAATAAAAATGATTTGCGCACCCCCACTTACTGACTTACCTTTGTATATAATCTCATTCAATAATTGTTTTTGAAATATTTACAGGCATTCCTCCATATGCAGTCTTTCAACGAGTGCCAGATAATTTTCCATCATCTATTGATGATACAACAGGGGAAAACATATATGAAGAAATACATTAAAAGCGTAAGTGAATTAAATAGAACGACAACGGAAGACCCTATGCATGAAAACGTCACTTGAAAGTTAATATTGTAAATCACTTTTTAGCCTATAGCAACACCATACCGACATTTTGCAATGTATCGTTTCTTCAAGGTTATTGAACGGCCGTCATTTTAGTAAAAAGTCTTTTTCTATAAAAAAATATCAAACAATATATGTATCTATATATCTATATATTTATATATCTATATATCTATATATCTATATATCTATATATATATATATATATATATATATATATATATATATATATATATATATATATATATATATATATATATATATATATATATATATATATATATATAAGGCCGTGTCAAGTGGCCGGAAGGCCGTGTCAAGTGGCCGAAAATTTATTTGCATACTTTACTTTAGTCATCTTTAATAAATTCTTCGATACGTAGCCATCTCTTTGTCGTAATATATATATATATATATATATATATATATATATATATATATATCTATATATATCTATATATATATATATATATATATATATATATATATATATATATA